ACCTACAGCAGCTGAAGACCCAGACTACAATTTCTAAGCAATTCTGTCAAGGAAGGATTGCAGCATTCTTCTTTAAGATAACTTTCCTATATATACTAATTTTCTGCACTAATATGCTGTTATTATGTGGGTCAGATACTTAGGAAAAATATATATATACTCACACATTCTTTCAATACCATCTATAAAAGTTACAGAAAGCAAGATCAGCTTGCTGCACAAAGTGACTGATTTATGTCTTTGTAAAACTTTTGTTCAAGCACTATAAAATATCAAATCAATGCTCTTATGCCCTACTATGAATGCTAAATTTTTCTCTCTCTCTCCCAGCAGCTTTAAGGAAAAACAGTAACATAACTGAGGGGATAAGGTAATCAATGGATCCAAACTCTGTCATTAGTAGTAGAATATCCTTAGGCAACAAATCCATGAGTTTCCAAACCAAGAGAGATATTGCCCTCCAGTATGTATGTATCAAATGTTGAACAAATCATTGGAATTACCACTACTGCTCCATCTTCCTTTGCTCCTTAACTAATCATGATCTTGTTTAAAAACAACTGAAATAATTACAATATGTTTTTGAGCATCCAAAAGTATAAAAGTATCCTCTGCCCAGAAGAACAAATATTCTAATGGTATGTCTACATGGCTGTATCTTCATCTTGAGTAGACATTCCTATGCTAGCTTTAAATTAGCGGGGTCAGGCACAACTAGCAGTGTAGCTACAAAATTATGGATCTCAATGTAAGCTTTTCCAAGCTTCTCAAGCAGGTTTCGGGCTCCATGTTGCTGCAGCTACACTACTAGCTGGACCTAAGCCAGTTAATGTAAATGCAGTGCAGACATAGCTTCAATCTGCCACAGCAAAATGGGGAGATAGGCAAAAGAAATAACAATAATAATGCCGTTTTCCAGGACATCAAGCCTTGGATGCTACTTTGCCTTTTTTTTTCCTTCTTTTTCTTCCCCATTTGTTCCCCATCATGAACTTGCAGGAAGCATTTGAAAGAAGCAAGGGAAGAGGCTTGAGGAACAGGTTTGAGGAATGAGATGGACTCATAGGCTAAGTACAGATAGTCAAGAAACCCGAGGCTGAATCAATTCAGTCTTTGCAGGTTAGTTTAAGATTCACAGATTAAGTTGAAACAGGAGTGAATAGACATTTACCTTTGATACAGGAAATGCAGCCACATGCCTGCAGTTGCTCAGGTCAGAAGCTGAGAGGTACCAAAGCACAGCTCTTTGGCTGTGTGTTCACATTTTCTTCCTGCTGCCTCTGAGGTCTCTGGGATTTGTAGTCCAGAATCACAGCAGCAGGACTCTACAGGGATGCTCATCACTTCCTCTTCTTGCTTCCATGTGCCTCTAGGATTTGTAGTCTACAGTTGCAGCCAGCAGTAAGTTTGAGCAAGGGAAGGAGTGTTCAACTCCTCTCCCTGGCCCTAGATGGCTGTATCATCAGCCAGGCTTGCCCCCCACTTTTTGTCAGGCAGCCCTGACTGCTCTGGCTAGGGAGCAGAGGGGCAAGGCCAGCTCTGCTCTCTGGAGCAGACAGCACAGCACAGCACAGCCCAGCCCAGGGCTGGAAAGCATATTGGGAGACTGTGATTTAACTTGAACCGAGAAAGGGTCTGGGATAGAAGTTCCATGAACTGGTTTGACCCAAATCAGTTAAGTCTGATACTATGTTCAACCAGTGTTTTCAAAAAACCAGTTTCAGCCATTTTAAAACTGGTTTATGGGCACTGAGCTTCTGTTCTGTTACAGGTTTAAACCAGTTTCTGATCATTTAAACCAGTTTATGTGAAACTTCTGTCCCTAGCCATACAGTTCACCTTCTCAGCACAGTGCAATATAATGCAGAGATGCCCATCCTAGCCCTGAACAAGTTCGTTCAGATACCAGAAGCAGTACAGCTGTGTTACTACAGTGCTTAGCACTAATCTCCTCTGTTTTTTTGGGTATAGTTGTGGAGGAAACTCTGAATATAACCTGCCTCCTAAAGGCTCTGAAACCAGAAAAGCAAATAACTGCTCCCCCCACCCCCCAACAAAATGAATCAATTTATAATCTCATTTTTTTTAAAGCCAACCCTACAAATGTTAGGTTTGACTCAAATATTGAATGTCTTACATTGAAAACACAAGAGTACAAGAAGGCTTGACCTAAGGCAGCCAGTTCTCTAGCAGGGTGCCACAGCACCCTCGGCTGCCTTAAGATATTTTCAGGAGTGCCACACAATCATAACAGTTAGGTGTACAAACATGATTTACAAGATAAACATTTTGCCCTGTTGTGTTTTTTCTGCATTCTTTGCCCTAGAAGAATTGCTGTGTTCTTTTTCTGTAGTCAAAAAACAAGTGAAAAGTAGGAGCTGGCACTTTCAGAGGGGTGCCTTGGATCTACTGAAGAATGCCTTAAGTCTTTCAAGGGGTACTTTGAGACTAAAAAGGTTGAGAACCACTAACCAAATGGGTCATTTGTAGGAACCAGAATATGAATGAGGCATTGGGACTGGTGAGGTTGAGACGGTACAGGAATTCAACCTGAAAGAAGCCCTGGCATGGCTTTACGAGCACTTGTGGTGCTCTGGAGAGGTACCGGTGGACTGGAAGAGGGCCAACATGGTTCCCATCTTCAAAAAAGGGAGGAAGGAGGACCTGGGAAACTATAGGCCAGTTAGTCCTACCTCGATCCTAGGCAAGCTGTTTGAGAAAATTATTCTGGCACACATCCAGGAGGGGCCAGCAGGGGACTGCATGCTTAGGGGCAACCAACACGGGTTCATCAGTGGCAGGTCCTGTCAGAACAACCTGGTGGCCTTTTACGATCAGATCACCAGATCATTAGATGCAGGGGTAGCAGTGGACATAGTCTTCCTGGACTTCTGGAAGGCTTTTGACACTGTCTCTCACCCCGTTCTCATTAAGAAA